AGAATGACACCAATTCCTCCCACCCCCATCACATGCCATTCTCAGTGTGACTTCATGGGTCCAACCATCCAAAGCTGGGACTATTTCCCCATTTCTTGAATCTGGATGGCTCAGGGGACCTGCCTTGGTCAACAAGATATTAGCAAGGGTGACGTCAGCATGAAAGGCCATGTGCATTGAAGCCTGCTGCTGTTGAACATCCTGCAGCACCTGCTTATGGAAGAATCCTCTGCTAGCAACTGGAGGAGGAGGGGGCTGATGACCCAGTTAGCCCATCTCCAATCCATAGCCAGCCAATCCCTAAGTATGTGAGGAAGACTTGTCTGCCAGGAGACCATGGTGCATGAGTGAGCCCAGGAAGCACCACATGAAACAGCGACCATCCACTCAGTGAGCTCAGCCTGAACTGCCAGTTCTGAGAATTGAGAGCCAATCAATGATTGCCATTTGAAGTTACTGAGTTAAACAGCAATAGCTAACTGATGCACTGGCACTAGAGAGGTTGCTTGAAATGCATTAACTTTCTAATTTGAGTCTTTCCAGAGTGATGTAATGGATGCAGAGACAAAACTGCAGAGTTAGAGGTCAGTAACTAAGGTCAGGGCTTGACTGCTCTTTCACCCAGCCCCTCCGGGGCTATTTCTCCACCCACAGGATCAGAAAACGGGAGTGGGCCAAGGAATTAAGGTTCTAACATTCTATTGCATCTCTTGTCCCAGTGCTAAACCCACATTAACATTGCCTCAGAATTTTTTCTGGGTTTTAAATCTTTCTCCCTTTATTTCTAATAGCAACACATGTTTTTCTTGGAGCCTCACCTAGCATTGAACACATAAGTGGTCATCTTTCTGTCCTTCTAAATCCACAAGAGTCTACCTTACTGAGACATCACAACATTTTGATTCTTGAATGTCATCAATTTAAAAATAAAACAATTTAGTTACAGATTTTGGGGTGGTGAGAAAAGAAAAAAACTAGATTACATCATTTTAAAGCTGTGTCTATCATTCTTCACATTTGGTATGAGGTTGAGCATATTACACGTTTGACCAAAAGATGGTTCCTGAAGGAGCATTGTTAACCTCGGGAAACTCTGCATCGTACCAGGTAGGCATTTTGTAGCCTTGTCCATGGTCTCAAGTCTGTTACTTCAAAAGATATTAAGGAATACCTTCTGCTTGAAAGACTCTAAAATCTCTGTTTCCTCTTGTCAAATCACCTATCTTTGAGCATGTAGCAGCTCCTCCTGAAAGCCACCCTGACAGCTTCTCAGAGCATTAGTGACATGAATTGGCCCTACCAATCCCTTTGAGCTCTGAAAGTTCTGTAAATAAGCATTGTCCACAAGTTTACTCAGTTTGGGGGATTTGGCAATTTGTGTCCCACTGCCTAATAGGTGACAGACCCTCAATGTGACAGCTTAGCATAATAGTTATGATTACATGCAAGTAACAATGAAGGATTCACACTTAAGAGAACCATCTCAAATGTACAGCTGCCATTCCAGATCAACTGGCATGCTGCCCAGGAATCCTAGGTCCTTTTCCCAAACTGCCACTTGCCAGGAGCAGGTGACATCCGTCTACTTATTTGCAATTCCTGGCCCTGGAAATTTATTTTGCAAGGACAGGTAGGGTCCACTTAATTACAGGAACACTAAAAGAAGTACATGTGGGGCCTCCTGGGTGGCGCAGTGGCTTGAGCGCAGTACTGTGAAGTTGTCCACAGCCTCCGCAGTGCGGGTTCGATTCCCAGACGGCCAGGGAGCTACCCACATGGTGCAGCAGACCTCTCCTGTCTTGACCGCTGTTCCCCTCAGCAGCAGTGTTTTTGGTCTGTCTACCTGTTCTGCTTTCCACGCTGTCTCTGGTGAATTCTCTCACGCTCCCACACCTCTAGCCTGTACCCCTGTTCTTTTTTTTTTTTTCAAGATTTATTTATTTATTTGTACAAGCACTGGGTACAGTCAGAGGCACGGGAGGGTGAGAGAATTCACCAGAGCCAGAGCTGAGAGTAGAACAGGCAGAGTGACAAAGTACACTGCTGAGGGGAGCAGCGGGCGGCAGGAGAGGTCTGCATGCCATGTGGGACCCTCACCCAGCGGCGGGGATCAAACCAGCACTGTAGAGGCTGCAGGTAGCTTCGCAACCCAGCGCTCGACCCCTGCGCCACTGGGGAAGCCCATGTACCCCTGTTCTTGTACAAATAAATAAATCTTTTTTTTAAAAAGTACAGGTATATGTAGGGCACAGGTCAAGAAAAGACAACATATATCTGGGGGTCTTGAAGCCATATGAGTGGCTTGGGAATAGCAAATAATAATTCTGATAATAATACCTACCACATCATGATCTTTTCCCTTTTGTTTCAAGCTGCCCTCTTCAGAGACATCTATTTTTTGACCCCTCAACTCAGTGTGTAGGTGTGTGTGTTTTTCTGATAACTATGATTTAGTGAGTGTGTGTGTAGTACCTCAGATGTGCCAAGTGGGAACTATACAAGTAAAAAATATAGTAACTTAAGGGAGTTCATCTATATAACTGGGGATGATGGGTTATATATCCATTCCACAATGAAAATAAATGGTAATTGAGTGAGGTGTGTTATGAAAAGTGAGCCTTAGATAATGCAAGCCTACCTCCCATAACTCCATCCCTCAAAATATAACATGTTCCACCCATTATCTGGGTATGCCAGGGTATAGCTTCAAAGCCTCAACCTGCGAAGTTCAAAGTACCTAAGACATGAAGACAGTCCAGAGAACTCAATAGAGGAGGTGAGTACAAAGCTATCCTTTTTCTTTAAGGTCTACAGCCTTCACTTTTTTTTTTAAAGATATATTTATTTATGCATACAAGAGCTGGGGTATAAGACAGGGGTGTGTCGGGGTGGGGTGAGAGGATTCACCAGAGACAGAGTTGGGAACAGAACAAGTAGATCAACTAAAATACACTGCTGAGGGGAGCAGCAGGCAAGTCAGGGGAGGTCTGCTGCGCCATGTGGGTCACCTCCCTGGCCAGGGATAGAACTCCTGCTGCAGTGCACTTCATAGTGCTGCATCTTAATCCCTTGCGCCACCAGGGAGGCCCCTACAGCCTTCACTTTTGGAGGGAGCATTCCACAGCCAACCAGGGGTGATCAGCATGACATTCTATGCTGCACCCAAGGAGCCTGCTATATTAGGAAAAGTTCAACTTACAATCAAAAGTATTCTAGAGACAAAGGCAAGTCACAGCAGCAACCAAGGTTGGTGTTCTCTTGGCAAAAAGAAGCTGACCTCCAGAGCTAGTGCAGACCCCAGATAAGCAAAGCACACTGACTTTGAAGCAGGGACAGGAGAGTCAGATTATGCCTGTGCATTGGGTGATCATGCAGATCTCAGCCTCTTAAAAAAAAAAAAAAAATCTCAGTTTCTTCATCTGCTAAGTAGAAATAATGATGATTTTCCACCTTAAATGAGTCTAACTAATCTGTTCAACACATTGGTTCAGATTAAAGAATGTTCTGCTCAGAAGAAGATCCAGAACAGTTAGCGATCTTACTCAGGTAGGGTGGCATTTTCCTCCCACTTGAGCAGAAGGGCAACGTACAATGCCCTTTTCTAAGGTTTCTAATGCCCTTTTCTGTGGTTCTGGATCACAGCCTTGCAGTCTGGATACATGGAAGAAGAAACTTGGGTTATGCCGTGCTATGCTGCCGAGATGGAGAAGGGATGTAAGTCAGGTGGATAAAGATAAACCACAGATGGCACGGGTTCTCCTGACCCGCTGTCTACCCCAAGTCTTCTAACTTTAGTATTGTCTTTGTGCTGATGTCCTACAGAACTAGGTCCTGACAAACTAGTGAACTAGTGAACACCTACAGGACTCTGCTGTTCTGGTACCACGTCCAATTCCTGCCCTTTGGGAACTCTAGCAGGGGAGACCCAACAGAGGACACAGCCCTCCTCAGGAGCAAAGACTTGGCAAGAGGGAGGGTCTTACATAGACAGTTGATTCAGTGAATCAGCCTTGACCAGCAGGGGTGAAGCCTGGGCTTGAGAGGCTGAGACATATGGTAGACATGTACCTGGGGAAGGAATAGTCTCACAGATGTTTTGCTTTATTTTTTTGGAAATAATATTTGAACCCCTTTCTGGTACATTCTTTTTTCTTTCACAAAAAGAAATCCAAACTGAAAGCCAAACTGAAAACACCACTTTCCCCCCTCCTCCAAAGTGTGAACCACGTATTTTAGGAGGTAGCTCCCCCCTTGACTCCAGCTCCCCGTACCCTCTCTCCTCTCCAAGATGATGATGCCTCCTCCTCCCTTTCTGCAGCCTTCCTAGTTCCTTTTCCATTCCAACTGACAACAAACCAATTTAGGATGGGGCCCAGGTTCCACCTGGATGCTTACTTGATCAGGACTTGAACAGATGCCAGACCTATAAAGTGGGTTTTTAAGAACCTCGAAACTGAGCCTGGGGAAGCCTTTAGGACCGGGGAGCCATCTCTTCTGAAAGCCCTGTCTTCTGAGTCCCTGGCGGCTGCCCCCTTCCCCCAGTCTCTGCCGCCCTCATTCCGAGACACCAGCCCGGCCACCTGCAGACGCGATCAAACCCATGGGCCTGGGGCAAAGTTGGCGACTACCTTCGCGCCGGGCCATTCCCTCCGCCTCCCCCTCACTGCCTTCCTCCCCCGGAGCCCGCGGTCACCGCCTCTGGCACGCGCGTCGCCAGTCTCAGCGAGCCCAGCCGCGCGCCCCGGAGCGCCCCTCGCCCAACCTGCCGGCCGAGCGCGCACTCCATAGTCTCCCCACACTCTTCTCCCGGGGGCCTACGGGCTGGGCTCCGCCCCAGCGCCACTGCTCCGGAGCTCCCCGCCGCCTGGACTGCCGCCGCTGCCCGGCGCCTGGCGCTCCAGCACGCGTGGGGCAGCCCGGGGCGCGGGCAGCGAGAGCAGGACTGGGAGCAGAGGGAGGAGAGGAGTGGCGCGGAGGGGAGCAAACAGGAGGGGAGGGCAGAGGAGAAAGCCCACGAGCAGAGGAGCTGAGGCGGGCGCCACACTGCCCCGCGCCCGGCAGGCTCACTCGCTCCCGAGACGCGCGGGCGGCCGCCTGGGCGCACTAGCCGGGTCACCTTGTCCCGGAGGTAAGTCCCGACCGCCCCAGCAGCGGGAGCTGGCGGAGGGGCCGGCTGGGGGCTGGGTTGGGGCCGCAGGCGGGCGCCGGAGGCGGCCCCAGCGCAGGAGGGCGTCCTGGCTCCGCCTAGGAGCGCGCAGACCCGGCGGCGGCGCGGCGCCCGCGGTGAGTCCCGGTGGTCGCGGCGGCGGGACCCGGGAGGCTGGGGTCACCCGGAGGGAGGGGAAAGCCGAGCGGGCGAGGAAGATGCGAAGGAAGGGGCCGGGGGCTGTCAGCTCCGGCTGCAGCTTGGCGCCTCGCCACCCCAGGCGCCCCGGCGGTGCGAAGGGGCTGCTGTGCAAAGTCGGGGGAGCTAGTGAGAAGGAGACCTAGGAGCGCAGCGGAGCGGGGCTGCCCAGGGTCGTGACGGTGCGCGGTGGGCATCGGCTCTGCGGGTTCCGGCGACCCTCGGGAGCGACCTAAAGGAGATCGCCTGGGGCTGGTGAGCGGAGCAGCCAAGAAGCTGGGGACTGAAGTCCATCTAGGACCGGGAAGGGAAGCCGACTTCAATTCCCTGAGCGGAAGGGAAAAGCAAGTCTAGCGTGCCAGAGCGCTGGGGATGGGGACTTCCAACCCGCGACCGAGGTGGAGGCGGGGATTCCAGGAACCCTTCGCTGCCGGCGAGGACAGGATGGGTGTCCATCTGCGCGCTGTCTGGTCCCTGGCAGTAGTGATAGCCCACAGACCTGGGATCCTCCAACCCAGTCTCAGAGAGGAGCGAATGGAAGCGCCTTTTGGGTTCAAGTTCTAGTCTTGATTTACCTAAGCGTGATTCCTGCCCCTTCGCGTGCGCTTTCGAAAACAGCGGAGAGGAAAGAATGGCAGAGTTGGGCACTTTTCTTAAGGGAAGGGGGCTTTGGTCGCTGTGCGTTTTCTGCAAGACCCCAATGGAGTGCTCCTTAGACGCTGTGTGCTCTGGGGAGACTGCCACTGGGGTAGCAGGGCTTTTCTGAAGAATTACAAGTAGGGGTCCGCTGGTCGGTTTCATTTCCTTGGGGGGTCCCCTTGAATGCTTGGGCGCTCAGCATCCAGACTTCAGTTACGCGCATCCTTCTGCGGAGTCAGATGCTCTGGCGCCGCTGGTCTGCTGGCTCCTCTTCGGGATCTGAGCGTTCTCTGGCCACGTCCCTGCGCTCAGTGCACCAGGCACTGGTCTAAAGGCTGGCTGACTTGGGAGTTAGGGGTGGAGGGCTCCCTTTTCTAGTTAGAATCAAGCGGTGTGGCGTGCTAGCGCCTCTGTTTATCTGTTTGCCCCCCTCCTAGTGGCCAGTCTGTTTGGTCACAGCCCAAAGGGAAAGGCTTGCTGCGCAGACCTGCAGCCTGTGTGGTGAGCAGCCTGCTTACAAACCCTAGAGCCTGCCAACTTTTCCTTGCTGAGGTGTGATTGCCAGGACAGGAGGAATCTTCGAGCCCATGCTGGGATGTGGTCCTCCAAAAGGGATGGACTCATGAGATCCAGTAGCCAGGGTGGCTTGACAGGAGGGGTTTAATGTCCATTCTGGCTAGGACAGGGAATAGCCGCAGCTGAATTTTCAGATGAATTGTTGCTTGCTGTTTGATTGCGGTTGTATGGAGCATCTTTTTAAAAATCCAGACCACAGGTGCTTGATCTGTGGGGGTGTGGAAGAGCCTTCCAGTTCCCTTCCTCGCTCCTTCCAACACTCCCTGGCTCCTTTGCAAGGAGAAAATGTTGATCTGTGTCTGATCTGGTGTCCTTTTCGAACTCCCCCAACCCCCTGAAAAAAGGCAATCCTTATAATCAAAAGGGCCTTGTTAAATAAAGGAAAACCAGGGATATCTGTTTAAAGCATTTTATTATGAAAAATGTCAGGGGTACACTAAGATCTAGAGAAGAGGAAAAACTGACCCTCCAGTACCCTCACCCAGTAAGTACCACACTCATTAACCATTTGACCTTCCCTCTTTTTGACCCCCCCAACTCAGAATTTTGGAGGCTGTTTGAAGGAGAATTTAAAAGCAATTCCAAGCTCACTTCACCTCTAAATGCACCCTATGTATCTCCAGCTGATCATTTTTCATTTCATTTTCATCTAACCATCATCAGAAATGACTGCTTTTAATGATTCCATTAGTACAAAGGTGATATTAAAATAAAAATTAAGGCACCCCCCTCTTCCATTTGGGGATAGAAAAAAGCCAGCTAATGTTTCTTGAGGCATGAAGGGGGTAGTTGAAGGAGGAAAGAAATATTCAGATCTTGAGAAAAAGAGACATTTGAAACCATTAAATATCAATCAACGTGCAGGAGATAAACAAGATTTCAGTTGATCCCTGATAGGCAAAATAATTTAATTTTTCGTTAAAAATTTAAAACTCAGTTCATATATCATGAGCAATTGATTTCTTCCATGTTCATTATTACAAATTAAAAGTGCAATGTTAGACTTGACTCATCTTTCTCATTAACTTTAACTCATATTACAATTATTCATGTTACTATTAAAAGAGAATAGAAAGATATTTTCTTATGTATATTTCCCCCCCCCAGACACTAGTGGGTGCCATTCTGAGGCTCATGAAGAGTAACCAATATTTCATCTTTCAATTAGAAAGTGTTTGGTCATCACACTGGGTGCTTTCCATATGCCCATGGGAGAGATTCTGCTGGTTCAGATTTTATTTCAAGTGTGGTTTCTGTTGAGTGACAACATGGTTGGCCTCCAGGTTCAGTGGGAGCATTATCCCCCCCAAACCCACATGCCCCCGACACCCCAGCACATCTCTGTGCCTTTCTTTATATAATATAAAAGCCGCTTCTAAAAATTGTCAATGATGTTCTTTGACAATTCAGTCAGACTTTTGAATACCTTTGTGAGATGCACTATTTAAAGGCATCCTTAGTTAACCTTTGTAATATGAATAACCATCCTGTGGGTGAGCAGTTTTATAAGTCCTCCTTTCCTTGCATTTCCATGACACCAGTGTGCCCCTGGACCCCTCATTTATCCTTTGCACCCTGCAAAGTGTCACATTGGCAATTCTCACATGGCCAACATGGACTTGTGACCTACAACTTGAACAAACATCATGGTATCAGCAAGATACTTTGAATGAGTGTGTGAAGGTGGCAAGGACTGAAGTATGGGTCATTCATTTGTCAGCATCACACAGCAGCGGGGCTGAATGAGTAGTGAAACCACCTGTTCTTGCAGTGAGACGGCTTATCAGGCTGTTTTGCCAAATGGTGCTGAGGTGCGGTACTATCTACAGAGAAGTGTGATCCAGTGTCTACACTGGAGACTTCGCGCTGGCGTGTATAAGAAGCAGAAGCACCCCTGACGCTGAAGATGAGCTGACCAGGTTCCTGCCCATGTCACCAGAGTTGAAATAATGAAGGTGCTAACAGATAGTATTAACAATTGTGATATTTCAGTATTCTCTGCAAGATACTTAGACATTTCAAATTATTCCTGAGAGCTTCATAAATATGTGTTTCAAGAGGAGTGGCAGTAACTCTTTCAGGCAGTGGGCTACAATTCAGGACGCTCATGGTGGCTTCCTTTGCTGCAGAAGTGTTCTGGATTTCACAGAGTAGTTAGAGACATGCACATTTGTGGTTTCCTACTTGTGTAGCCGTCCTGCCCTGTGGAACTTTCTGGAGTGCCTGTGCATTGGTTTCAAACTCTAGGCGCTGCTGCTTGCTAGTTGAATGACTTTTAACAGGTGACTTATCTTTTCTGATTCTGTTTCTCTTCATCCATGTTCTTTCCAAGATTTTAAAAACACATGTTTATGGTTGTCATGGCTTTTTAAATGAATAAGATGCTGGGTGAGAACATTCTAGCATCTTTGCTGAATGCATTTTTTTAAAAAAAGATTTATTTATTTACACATACAAGAACTGGGGTACAGGCCAGAGGTGCAGGGGGTGAGAGGATTCACCACAGACAGAATGTGGAACAAAACAGGCAGACTGACTGAAATACACTGCCGAGGGGGTACAGCGAGACAAGAGAGGTCTGCTGTGCCATGTTGGCCTTGTAGTGCAGAGGCTGCAGACAGCCTCACAGTGCTGTGCTTAACCCCTTATACCACCAGGGATGCCCATAAACTGAATGCATCTTTGAGTCAATTTTGCATTCCTATTCCTCTGAGAACATAAAATGAGCCAGGCCTACATTCTGTAACTTCCTGTTGGCAAAAATCAGAATAAGGACAGTACACGCAGGTGTGACTCTCGCGTCAGAATGCTCCTGAGAGGGCTTCCCCAGTGGCGCAGTGGTTGAGTGTTGGGTTGCGAAGCTGCCTGCAGCCTCTGCAGCGCCAGTTCGATTCCCCGGCTGCTCCCTGGCCACCGGAGGAGGGTCCCACATGGTGCGCAGACCTCTCCTGCCGCCCGCTGCTCCCCTCAGCAGTGTACTTCAGTCCTTCTGCCTGCTCTGCTCCCCGCTCTGGCTCTGGTGAATTCTCTCACCCTCCCATGCTTCTGACTGTACCCAGTGCTTGTATAAATAAATAAATAAATCTTAAAAAAAAAAAAAAAAAAAGAATGCTCCTGAGTAGGGTGGACATTCATGTCAGGTGAGAGTTTAGACAGAATGTGTGGGAAAGACTTGTGGACTGAATCTAGATGCATATCACATTCAAGACAGTGCATGGTGCATGTTCTCCGGGACAGAATCTGTTAAAGTACATTACCAACAAACCACAAAACATCCTTTGTAATAGGTATGATTCACTAAAATCTTTGTTTAGATCACAAAGTCCAAGTAACCTTAAACTAAGTAACCTATTAAATTTTCAAAAATAAAATAGGGCCTCCGTGGTGGCCTAGGGGTTATGTCTCAGTACTATCACTTCAAAGGCCTGAGTTCTATTCCTGGCCAGGGAACTAAACCACATGGCACAGCAGACCTCTCCAGTTTCGCCTTCTGCTCCCCTCAGCAGTGTATTTAAGTAGCTCTGCCTGCACTGCTCCCCACTTTGTTTCTGGTGAATCCTCTCACCCCC